ACATCCAATTATTTTGTTTGTGTCACCTTCTCACTCGTTTTAATGTAAAAATATCAATTTAATTTTATTTTTGTTTCTTTGTTTTTATTTATTATTTTAATTTTAACAATTTTGTTTGTTTGTATGTATGTTGAGCAATAATTGTTAAGTTATGTGATTTATTCGTTTCTGTTTTTGTATTATTCCTTTTGTTTTTATTATTATTATTATAAAATAATATTATATGTATATTACAAACAGGGCATTCGTATTAAAAATAAATAAAATAATTCTTAAAATATAATATTTAAGAAAATATTAAAATATATAGTATATAAAAAACATATAAATATTACAAAAATAATATTATAAAAAAAAATCAAGTAAAATTATAAAATACATATTTTACAATTAAATATTTCAAAATAATATCCATTTTTTTTCAAGATTCTTTGTTGAGACCATGTAGCATGTTTTTAGATTTTTAGGTGTTCTTTTTAACCCATGAATTTTTTATTATTTCTGATTTTTTTTTTAATTTTTTTAGAGGGGGTTTGACATCTATACATATTTTAATATTAAATATCATCTCAAATATTATTTTTAATACTTTCAAATGTGGAAACGATACCACGGCAGTAAATTTTCGGCCAAATGTGGCCAACTCATCCATTACATATGTATGCCTAGAAATTAGATAATGTGGCATGCAACACGGAACCCAGGCAAGTGTACCAACAGAGAGGAATCATGCAGACTCATTTCACACAGAACATTACTTTATATGGTTATCAAGGACTTATAGTTTTTAAATTTGTTTTCAAAGACTATCAAAATCCTGGCATGTAAAAAAAAATATTTTGTTACAGGACGTCCCAAGTCCTGAAATTAAAAAAAAAACATTGTCTTTCAGAGTCCTGAAGTGTTTTTTTCCAAGAGTTTGTAGCACCGCGAAATATCGGTCCTAGACCCACCTTTTAGTATACCGATTGTCATATCTCGACTAACTGAGTCGATGTAGACATGTGCGTCCGTCTGTCTGTCCATTATATTTTGTAAACACGATACAAGCCACAGTTATCGGACAATCTTGACGAACATTTTGCATGAAGGACGGGTTCAGACCAAAGAAGACCCCACTTTTATATTGATGGAATGAAATGGACCAACAACTTAATGTTTGTCTTTTTTTCTGGTCGCTATTATAAACATCACGAAATTTTTAATGGAGAAGGAAGGGTATAAAAAATGACTATTTTAGCGAATCAATATTTAGCGGGTCAAATGGACCCAGCTTATGTGTGAAAAATGACAAAAATATATTTTATATGGCTTATATATTTACTCCTGAAGAACATAGATCGAAGAAGTTGATAGTATAACTGACCTTTAAATTGATGCCCATTATATTAATGTGCGTACTCGGATGCGATAGTTATATTAAACTTTACCTCGATCTACATATGTATCTTTATAGTGTTCTCAAGTTTGGTAATGTTAATACTACCTTACAAGAGGGCGGAAAGTAGCTCTGATAGCTAGGACATTTTGCATAAGGTTCAGGTTATGGTCAAGGATGATGCCTATAATCCTAGAACTTTATTTTAGTCTGTTTCCTAGTCGCTCAAGATGCCACAAGGTCAATTTTAATGTCAAATGATGCCGCAGAGGGCTGTTGAAATCTAATCGTTGAAGCGGGTCCAACTATTACAAAATTGTACACAAGCTCGGAATATAGGTCCGCAAAAACTGAGCCCTCAGTGCTAGTTGTGTAGGGTATCAAAGGGTCGACCCGCCCTGAAATTTGTACAAATATTGGTTCAAAGACTATCAGTGTCCTTAAATTTTCAAGCACTATTATTATTAAACATATTTTTTTCTTCGGGATTTCTGGAGTTTTTCAAAATATATTTTTTAAACACTATAAAAGAGTCCTGTATTTTTAACAATATATATCTGAGATTTTTTAGTGTCCTGGATCTTTTCAAAATATTTGTTATCACTGTCCTGAATTTGTTAAAACCATTTTAAGGACTATTATAAGTAGGATCTTGTATATATTGCTTCCAGGATTATGAGATTCTTGGAATTAAAAAAATCAAAGACTACCTATAACCTCCCTCAGAACGCAGACAAGGTCCTCATATCGCTTGCCGACAGCTCTTGGGTTACTGAGAATTTGTCGACCTCCTACAAAACAATAGATCGGACGGTGGTATGCTATGCGGAGCATCCTTATGACATATTACCCAACAAAATGTCGCCGACGTAATACCGGCTTGGGTGTTATTACTGTATGAATATGAAATCCGATCACAAACTACCCCCAAAATTTTGGCTGCAACGTTCGACTGCATATTTAGGTCTTCTGCGATAACAATATTCTCCAATGGCCTGTTGCCAGCAACATTGAGTAATAAATAGTTTGGTGAATAAGTATTCAATTCGGTCAGAATACCGCCCTCATGTCTGAGAACCATTCACAGCAGACCGGTTACCTGCAATCGTTGGACTCATGCGTGCCATTATCTTTTATATACGATTCCCCCTCTCAGGCACGTCAGAAGAGATCTTCATATTATAGAAAGAGAGAGGTAGGGGTCTTACGGTACAACAGGGAGCCCTAAATCAACTCGCCTTGTAATTAGAAATGAATGGCATTCACACCGAAGCAATCATCCAGGCGATGGTCCACCATAATAACGAAAGAACGACTCCTGCCTTGGCAAATACGAGTGGTCTTAGCCTACCAGAACATGCCCTGTACACATGCATGTGAACTAGGACCCAACGCTACATCTGATCAACTACCCTGCTGAATCCACTGAAATGTATCCAGATGTAGATCGCAACCGCTTATATTCGTCCGTTTGTCTATCTGACTGCCTGAAAATACAGTTATGTTCGTCCGTTTGTCTATCTGACTGCCTGTTTTAGTGGTATGAAATGTATTTTCCAAATACATTTCATACATGAAAAACACCTTTGGAAAAATTTTCCACATAGGTTCATTTTTTTAATATAGACCCATATTAAGGACCCGCTCCCATTTACGGCTGTTTTTAGACTTTAACCGGGATTTCTCACCGAAATGGAGGGTGAAAACATATTTTCTAAATTCATATAGGTCTATGCTTGAACAAAGTTTCTATATAAGGATGCCGTTCTCTTTGTAGTATTTTAAGGATTGTAGCCGTATTTTCTTCGCCGAAGTGGTTATTGGAGAGCGAAAAGCATCTTTGCAAAAGATATAGGCCCATTTTTGATATAGTGCCCATCCCATTCCATTTTCATTGTTTTGAAAATTTTAGCTAAGTTTTTATCACCGACTGTATTTTAGAATTTCGTATTCTTGGAGTTTCGTATGGATATAGGTTCATGTTTTGACATAGGCTCCATATATGCATATTGTTCACTTAAAAAAATATTTTTACAGTCTGTCAGTCAGAGTCTTGACACTAAAAAAAATAATGACCTGGTTTACCAGAGTCCTGGAATTTTTGAAACAAATTTTTGTGACCCATTTTCGGTGTTTTGAAGGTTTTAGCTGTATATTTTGGCCGAAGAGGTTGTATATTTCGAATTTCAGGTTCGTGGAGGGCTTAAAAAATATTTGAATTTTCTTCTCAATTTTTTTTTTCAATATCGTCCCGACCTATTTTCAGCATTTTCCCACAGATGAACCAGTATGTTATTCATGGCGAAAAAATTGTTCTTCCCACAAATGTTTAGCAAAAGTCCATAGTAACCCATAGTCCCTTTACAAAAGGTCTTGCTTAATTTGAAGTATGTTGAAAGAAGTTTATATTATTTGGTTAATTATATTTGTTGTGTTTATTCTTAATCAAGATCAATTCATACATAATTAAACATTAAAAAAAAAAATACCTTAAAAAATAAAATTGCACAAAAAAAAATAAAAATACAAATTAAAAACTTAATTTACAAATAAATAAATATTTCAACTTATTAAAAAAAATATATGAAAAAAATATTTAAATTATAATTTACAAATTAATAATTTATTTTAATAATATATACAAATATTTAAGGAAATAATTATTTTAAAATATATATTTTACAATACTTTTGCCCTGTGTTTTTTTCGGGAATTTTTTCGTTATTAATTAAATATTATATATTTGTATTATTATTATTTTTTTATTATTATTAATTTATTTTTTCAGGGATTTGTTTTTTTTTTTTTAATTTTTTACACTAATACACACAATTACTACATTTAATATAATCGTAGATTTTTTTACTTTTAAATTTAAATCTATTTTTTGTTTCTTATTTCTTTTTTGGGACTTGTTTTTTTTTTGTGTTATCGTATAATTATGCAATTAAATATATATATAATGTAATTTATAAGTTATTTTATAAATTATAAATTATTTCGTTTGTTTTTCCTTTTTTTTTGGTTTTGTTTATAATTTGCCTTATTTGTTTTTTTTTTTTTTTGGTTTTCTCTATTTATGTAAATTATTTTAGTAACAATACAACCAACACACCCTGTATGCCAAACCCAAAACTTAAAAAAATAATACAAAATGGTTAAAAACAAAATAAAAATATGTATGTGTGTTTTCATTTTTTTAGGTAAATAAATAAATATTTTTCTTGGTTTTTATGTATTTTTTTCCTTTCTTAAAAAATCTCAATATATGATAAATGTATGTTTGTGTGTGTGTGAGAGTAATGCTTTTAAAGCTTTAATATCTCTCCCCGTTTTTTAATATTTGAACTCTTTTCTCTACACGGTTCTCCAAAACAATGCAAATGAGCTTTTAGCCATTTTTTAGCCAGCACTCAAACGCACAGGGTTTGATAGGGAGAGAATATCTCACTCTCTCTCTTTCTTCCCCCTGTGAGAGTAACAAAAAAACCTCACTCCTTTTAACCATTCATTTCATTCATTCTCTATCTCTCTCGTTGTGTGTGATTTTTTATCGTGCTCTCTCTCTCTTATTTAGGATTTCTCTCTAAAAAAAACATCCTTGAAATCTAATTGTTTCGGCTTAACAACTAATTTCAGAATGTTTATCCTTATAGCGTTCCGCATAACCCTGTATGGTAAAGGGTGGGGCATTTGTATTACCATTCGTGGCTAAATTACCGTTCATTTTGGCCATCAGACCATTACTGCCATTGTGCAGTAGGCTACCGTTTAGCTTCTCGGAGGGAGTATCTGAGCAATTGTTACCACCCTTCAGATTATTTACCGATGCGGACATCATTTGGATATTGGCATACGAGGAGTGTTTATTATTTAAATTAGTATTTGTTGTTGCTGCTGCGGCAGCGGCTGCAACGGCCGCCGCGGCTGTGGCATTTGGAACTGTTACGTTTGTATTCAGACTCTTGGTTAAAGCGGCCGGATCTAGAGTTATACCATCCAGCTGTGATGAAAATGATAATGGCGGTTGGATTGTTGTTGGTGTTGGCTGTGGCGTATCCAAGCTGATCAGCTTCGTCTCCTCCTCATCTTCGTGCGGCGGCGTTGCCGATGACTGTATTGTCCTTAGGCCATTCGAGACGGGCGATCGTTGACTACTGCTGCTGTAACCGCTTGTGTTGCCCGGTCCCTGGGCCCCTATGGATGCGGTGTTAATGCTCTTCTGGGAGCCATTCGAATTGTTGTTGTTGTTGAGCAATGGTTGATCACTTTTGGAATTGGGCAAAATGAAGGAGGTTTCCCAACAGCCCTCATTGGTGGCATTTGTATGCTCATCGTCCTTCAGGAGCTGGGAATGTTGTGGCGCCGAGGGTGAGGCCACACCGGGTGGTGTACAGATATTGGTTCCAGTCGATATAGCCATGGGACAGCTAGGATCGATCATGTCATGTTGTTGTAGTTGTTGTTGGAGAGCTGCTTGTTGCATCAGCTGTTGTTGCTGCTGTTGGTGTAAATTTGTAATACCCGGCAGCGGGATTAAATAATCCGATGTTGTGGGTACCTGTAGACAAACATCATCGACACCCTGCGGTCGTATAATTGTTTGATCACGTTCATTAGAGGGCGGGCGTAAAATGTGGGGCAATGGAGCATTCATAACAGTGGGGTCCTGGGGGAGAAGGGAAGAAAAAATACAAAATTAAAAAACAATTCAAGATCATCTCTGCTCTCTATTCTCATCTCCCTGTCTTCTTTTTTCTCTATCTCTCTCTCTCTCTCTCTCTCTCTGTGAAACTTACCTCTGTTACAGCCTTTAGGCGCTCCAAAAGACTAGAAAATGTTGGACGATCTTCTGGTGTGGGATTCCAGCAATCGGCCATGATTTTATAAATGACGGGTGGACAGCCCGGTGGGGTGCCCAAGCGGCCACCATTGGTAACCAATTGCATGACCTCGGGATTCGGTAGACCTGTGTAGGGCATTAGACCCAAGCTGAAGACCTAGAAAATTAATTAAAAAATTAGATGAAAAAAAATAAGTAAATAAAAAATTTCGATAAAAAATTAAATTATCGGAAATTTCGATAAATTATCGATAACCGAAAAAAATTAAAATTATTAAATTTTTTAAATTAACTTAAAAAAATATAAATGTTGTTATCGAAATTTTCGAAATTTATCGATAAGCGATAAAAAAATGTATTGAAAAAAGTAACTTATTAAATTTAATTGTTTTTTTAAGAATTTAAATTAAATACAAAATATTGAAATCGATAAAAAATTAAACTATCGGAAATTTCGATAACTTATCGATAACCGAAACGAAATCAAATTAATTATTTTTTAATTTATCTTTAAAAAAATATAAATGTTGTTATCGAAAATTTCGATAATGAAGAAATCGACAAATTTATCGATAAGCGATAATAAGATGTTTTGAAAAAAATCTTAAAAATCGATAAAAAAAATTTTGTTATCGAACATTTCGATAATGCAGATATCTATAAATTTATCGATAATATTTTTTTGTGAATATTATTTTTACCGAATGTTATCGATAACACATTTTTAAATGTATCGAAATTCCCAAACTCCTCCTGAACTTACCTCCCACAATAGAACTCCAAATGACCAAACATCTGTCTTCGAAGTGAAAATACCATCCAAAAATGCCTCTGGCGGCATCCATTTAATCGGCAGCATAGCCTTGCCACCTTTACGATAATAATCGCTGCGATAAATATCTCGGGCCATACCAAAATCGGCAATTTTCACCACACGCCCTGGACCCTTACTACTCAGCAGACAATTACGGGCGGCTATATCGCGATGTATAAAACGTTGACTTTCCATGTAGCGGCAACCCTTTGCCACATCGAGGGCGCAAAATACCAAATCTTTCATTGTCAGGGGAGAGGGGCGCTCCGGTTTATGACGTCCTTCCCTCAAGAAGTTTTTCAAATCACCACCAGCCAAGAGTTCCAAAACAATAAACCGTGGATGGCGATCAAAGCAAACACCTATCAGATGGACCATATTGGGATGATTGAATTTGGCCATAATCGCTGCCTCCATAAGGAAGTCCTCTTCTGCTTGGCGGGTTGACATTTCCGGAAGTGTTTTAACGGCAACGGGCATTTCAACGGCATCGCCATCACGATGGCGGTACAAGCCTTGATAGACCTCACCAAATGCTCCCTGACCCAGGGCCCTAGAGGGGGAAAGAGGAGAAACGGGAAATTAGTTTTTTTTTAACTTCGTGGATGTGAGGTATAACTTACTTGACCAATCTCAAGCTTTCACGGGCCACCTGAGGTAGACTATTGACATTTATTTGGCCATTGATGAGATCATCGCAACCATAGTTCGGATTGAAATTATTGAGGTTATTTTCATCGATGTTGTGGCGCAGGCGGGTCAGCTGCATATCCTGTTCCCGCAGCATCTTGTGGCGTTCCTTGGCCAATTTTTTGCGTTGATAACGATTGTCTGTAAGAGAAAAATTTTAAATTATAACCTCCGCATATTATATTTCGTGGTCAGAACTTACACAACATAACAACCAGGGCAGCCAAAGAGGCAATCAGCAACAGCATTAGGACCGTAAAGAAGGATATTAAATATTTCAGCGGGATGGTATCGGTTGCAGGCACTGAAAATAAAAAAATAAATAAAATGACTTTGTTAATCTCCTTCCTCCTTTCTATGAAATTCTTCCGAAACTTACTATCACATGCCGATGTATTGTCTTTGCGTATCCTCCAACCTTCAGGACAGATACATTTCACCGACGACCTATATTCATCCAAAGCCAAGCAACGATAATCACAACCACACCCCTCAATTGCAGGTATGATGATAATCGATCCAGCCCCAAAATTCGCTCCCTCATAAATCGAGCTAAGTTCCTTCAGGGTGCGAGAGGCACTAATGTACGAAGAGCCTCCCTCACCATTCGACTCATTGAGATAAACATCACCACCGGCAAAACCGCCACCACCTCCACCAGTATCGCAGCCACCACCACCGCCTCCAAAACCTCCTTGGCCATAACGTTTGGTTACCGAACCATTTGTTTCCATATCCACATAGCAAGAGAAGCCACCACGACCACCTAGCAGTAGGGCTGCTCCATACCTCGCATCCAAGGCCTGATCAGCATTGGCTCTCCAGCCACCACCGGGACCGGCAGTTTCCTTTGACAATTGTTCACCATGGATTTGGCCCGTTAGACCTCTTCTTCCCGGGTTCTCCTTCTGGCCATGCTGGAAGGCCTCGTCTAAGTAGCGGCCCACGCCCAGGCCACCACCACCGCCTGCCACAACCAAAGGTACAGCTTCATTGCGGGCAGAGTTAAGCTGAAAACACAAGACCAAAAATTAAAATCTCTTTCATCTCCTCCTCCTTCCCGCTCATCCTAACTTACCAAAAACACATAAGATCCGCCACCACCTCCTCCAGCACCATTGTTACCATTCACAACGGCCGAGGAACTGAAATTGCAATTATCATCCTTGGTACCCATCGACTTCGAGCAGGCATTTTCACCTTGCTGGCCCACCAGCAAATAGAGTTCTTCGTTTTTGTGTAACTCCAAAACGGCCACTGCAACGGCACCACGCGACGAACCCACTCCCGTTGAGCCCAAACCACCACTGGCACCCTTGACAATGAATCTGTGGAAGAGAAATATTTTTTTTAAGAAATTGTGGAAATTTTTTTTGGGAACCTCAAATTCCGACTTACGTATAGAATCCTTCGTGAGGCACCCGCCACTTCTGCATACCCTTATAGGGTATTTCATCGGTTACTTTGACTTCCTCTAAGACATTCGTACGATTGTGACTTGTGTAATAGGTCTCACATTGCGATTGTGTAGGTCCATGCATACCACGATTGTCACAGGTCCCGAGTTCCAGATCTGGAAGAGGAAATAAAAAAATATAAAATTAGAAAAATGTAGTTCCGAACTTTAGTTCTCTAGCTCCGAACTTTTTTCCATGGACAAAATTCGTCTGGACCCTAATTCCATGTTTTTTTCTATAGAAAATTCGTCGGGACCCGAGTTCCGAATTTTGTTTTGAAGAAAAAAATTCATCGGGACTCTAATTCCGCACTTTTTTTTATAGAAAAAATAGTCGAGACCCTAGTTCCGAACATTTTTTTCTATAGAAAAAAATCATCCGGACGCAAGCTCCATGTTTTTTCTATAGAAAAAAATTCGTCGGGACTCAAGGTCCATGTTTTTTTCTATAGAACCTAGGTCTGAACATTTTTTTCTATAGAAAAAAATCGTCAAACCTCTAGTCCCGAAATATTTTTTTATAGAAAAAATCGTCAGAACCCTGGTCCAATTTTGTTTGGGCCCTAGTTCCGAACTTTTTTTCTATAGAAAAAAATTCTTCGGGACCTCAAGTTCCAAACTATTTAACATTGAAAAAATGTTCGTGACCTCAAGTTCTGAACGTTTTGTCCATAGAAAAAAACCCTCGAACTTTTTTCTATAGAAAAAAATCGTCGGACCCCAAATCCGATTTTTTTTTTTGTCGAACTAGTGTCCGATTTTTTCGAAATTTTGGTTGTTTTCACAACTCATACTTACAGCTATGATTTTCAAAATCTTTGTGCGTCGGACTTTTGGAATGCCGCACATTCCAGTAATTATACCCATTGAGATGTTCTGGTGGTATATTTATGCCGAAACATTCCGGAGATAGTGAAAAATCATCCACAGCCACATCGGAATAAATTCGCATGCCCATGCGTGCCTCAAATTGTAGATAATATCTAAATGACAAAAATCAAAAATTTAATATCCTTCCCACTTTCCCCTCTTCTAGTTATCCCCTCCTACCTTGACGTAATATTTGGTAAAATATATTCCGCTCGCATCCAATCCTTGCCCTGATTTTTCGTACTCCACCACAGTGTCGTGGTGATGTTCTCCTTCTCTTTCATTTCCACCACAGACAAATTAATGCTACCAGGATTTTTACCAAACTGGTGAATATAAAATCTCACCACACAACTGTTACGGTAGGGTGAATGAGGATCACCATGTACCGAGGGTGGTGGATTAAATGTCCGACTTATCATAATGGCATTACTGGCGAAGCCAATTTGCTGATACTTTTCACTGTTGTTGCTGTGCTGATTCATGTTGACCAACATGTAATAGCCACCACTGCCATTGGTGAGATGATGATAGGTGTGATCTCCCTCTGGTCCGGTATCCAATGTGGGCGAGGAGCCTGTATGCCTCGACCACGACAAAATTGTGCGTCCCGAGTCGCGCCAACCACACCAATCATTTTCGAAATCGCAGCGGGCACCAAAGGGGATTTTTTCTGTAAAGAGAGGGGGGGGGGGGAGAGAGAATTTTTGATTAATACCAGAAGAGAGGAAAATCGACTTTCTCTCTGCAATACTCACCACAATTGAGTAACTCATCCTCGGCATTATCACAATCTCGGGTAATATCGCAAATCCTCGGCAAAGGTATACACACCGAAACCTTATTATTCATACACTTGACCTGCGATGTACTGCACTTTTCCGATTTCGTACCCTCGGGGAAACAATTAACCATACGCAAGTTATCAATGGCCACATGGGCCTTCTGTCCCTCCAGCAACTTCGGTACAATTTCAAATACCAAACGAAAATCCCTTGAGATACGACCCAAACGAAATGATTTCTTATCCCAAGTCCTATAATTATCTCCCACAATTTCCGCTGGTACCCAGGAGTTCTCTTGCGAATGTAATGGCATCACCACGACCCTCGATAGCCCGTGACTCATACCACTTTGATGCATATATAGCTCAAGAACACACCGTTCCATTGTCGAACTAAATTGTGGTGATGTCAAATTGATTTGTACAGTAGTCGGAGCCAATCGGGCATACAAGAAATGACCATTAGCATCATCAGAATTGTCAGCCAGGGGTCCTGGATATAAACCAGTCATATTTTTCTTTGACACCTCAGTGCCGCTCATAATGTGAAAACCATCGGGTAAATTGTCGGTCCATTTCCAGGCACAGGGTGTTTCGAATGTACAACGAACACCCAATAAATCCTCAATGTCGTAATTGTGGGCCGATGCCGGGTGGGTCATCTGGAAAAAGAGAAGAAGAAGTGGAAAAAAAGATTAAGTTTGAGATTTATTGTGAGCGAGAGAAAAGATAAATACTTAGCCGGGAAAAGGTAGAGTTAAAAAAAGACCTTAACAAGGGAAATAGGGGATTTTTATAGAAAATTATTCTCGAAAAATGTTTTTTGTGAAGAAAATAAATTTATGAGGTATAGAGGTTCTAATTTTTGTAAAAGAAACTGAGAGGTTGAACAGGGACTTTTTTCAATAGAATATTTATATATTTAGGTTTTTTTCTATAACCACAAAAATCCGCAGACGCCAAAACTAGAGAACGAGATCGAGCCACATAGAGAAACAAACTAAAGGGCAAAGAGATCGCAGTTTTAAAGCAGAAACCTGAGAAGTAGAAGGCAGAAAACTTTCTAAGAGAGTTTTCCAGAACGAAAACTAGAGGTTGCAGTTTTATATTTTCAGATACAGAGGTCGTACCATTTTCAATCGAGAAATACATTACTGAGACCAACACTGAGATTAAATTTGCTTCTGTAAACAATTTTCAGACTCCAAAAATCCTAGTTTTTTATTATAAAAAAGATAGAATTTTTTACCAACCAAAAAATTAGAAATCAGGGTGGAAAGAAGAGGTCACTGGTTTCAGACATTGTTGACCTACGAAAAACAGAGGTCGCAGCTTTTTAGCTTTAGAATCTATACTCAGGTATAGAGGCCGCACCATTTCATTTTATAGAATACTAGCACCCACACTAAGATTCTCCTAAGAATTTTCTTCTAGAAAAAATATGTTGACTCCAAAGTCATAGTGTTTATTATAGAGAAGACGAAGTATGGAGTATTTTCTATAACAAAAACAATTCTCAGATTAAAAGTGTAAAACTAGAGGTCGCTATAGAACATTTTTCAGATCTAGATGCCGTTATATTTTTAATTTAAGTTCAGAAGTTGAGTTTTTGCAGGAAAAAATATCCAAACACGTCGAAGTTATTTGCTGTAATTTATTATAGATACATACATCAGGCTTTCGGACAAAGAAGGCTTTCAGATGAAGATGTTCGTAGACAAACCCATTTACCACGCATTATAGGCCTCTAACTTTAAATTTTTTCTGAAGATGGATATCTTTGGAACAGAATTTCTAGACATGCAAAAAATCTCTGACGCCTGTAGGTCGCAGTTTATTCTATACACAAAATTACTGATACCTAGATGTCGATGCTTTCTCTGAAAACTCAATCAGCAAGCAGAAGTTGTTTAAAAAATATTCAAATATAGATGTCACAATTTTTGCCTAGAGCAACATATCAAAGCCTAGGTTACAGTTTCCCCTTTAGATGGAACTTATTTCAATACAATTAATTCCTTAGACAGAGAATTGATTCCATAGAAAAATTCTTACGAAATTGAAATGATGCTAACAAAAACAAATACCTCAGGCTTAGAGGGCGTTTCTCCATAAACGATTATCAGATATAGGGGTCACAGGTTGATGTATGGGGGGTCATCGGTATAGACGATCTTAGATACAGATGTCGCCTTATTTCAATTGAATTTTTTTTCGAGTAGTCTTAATTAAGTCAAATTGTGCCGATTATGATAGGACCTTTGTTGTTGTGATAGGATGAGAAAACATTTTTGACGCGCAACAGTGTAGTCTCAGCTAATTCAAGTCGAGCCGAACATGATAGCAACATTTAGGCGACCGATCGATATTAAAGTTGACACGGTAAAGTTGCAGATCACAATAGCCACTTGTTGGCGCCCTTACCCTCTCATTGGGCGCCAACAACTTTTTATAGAAGGGAATTTTTTTCCAACAACATTTTAACTATTTTCTATTCGGCGCCCAACGGTTTAGCCTTAACTAAGTCAAATTGTGCAAAGCATGATAGCACCAAAACCAGCACGATTGTTAAATAATTTGGCGCCCAGCGGTACAGTCTTAGCAAATTCAAGTTGAGCCAATTATGATGGCATCATTTTGGCGCCCAATCGATATCGAATTTGATACCCGATGGTTTACAAGCTGTTTTAATTTGTTCAGATCAGAAAATGCATTTTTTGGCGCCCAATCTGTGGAAGAGAATTTTTTCCAACTACATCTTTAGCCTTAGCAATATGGGCACATAGATCCTCATGCAACTTAACGCAAAAATCCTAAGCTACAGCGATTGACATCCAGAGGTCGCTTTTAGCTCTAGTGATTTATTTAAAGGCATTAGACCTGAGTTCCATCGTATTTCTCCTGCCTTAAAAAATTATTTTGACTTCTCTACAATATTTCAAACATCTCCCTTCCTCTTAAACTAAGGAGAAAAATACAAATAGAAATGCATAGGAAATCCAATCGGACAATTGGAACTCCTCTAAATGAAACTACAGAAAAATTGTCATCATAAATCCTCAACAACATTCGCAACCACTTTTTTTTAATTTAATTTCATTCACTCACAGCACTTGAATGTTGCGCGAAAATCTCAGATAATTCTTCAGTCCCCCTGCCAAATGGTTTTTTGTTTTGCAATCTAAAAATATCCGTGGAATAATTAAAAATAAAGGAATAACCGCACGATATTCTATTTTCCAAGGAATGGAGGGAAGAGAGAGAGAGGTGTGGAGAGGGGAGGGAATTAGTGTTTGCGTTTGTTGGAAATGCAACAGCTGTATTTGTGAATTTATGTGTTGTTGTTGCCGATGACGATTTTTTTAATTATTTCCTGGCACTTGGCGAGGAAGAAAACGAACGAATGACATCTAAAGTGAATGAAACCACAAATCTGCGAAGTGTTTTTTTAGCGGTCATGGAGATCTATTTTGGCTGGAGTTTCCACAGGGAGTTTTGAATTCCCAGAATAAGATTCACGGGAAATGGCAACATGGGAGAAAATATAACTTCGGAGAAACCTCACCTATTCTATGGAGTTTGCGAACTCAGCTACTTCGTGTGGGGGACACTTTCCAATTTTGTTATTAAAGGAAATAATAGTTTGAAGATTTTTTCCCTATTGTCCCTTTATTTCAACTTACCGGTTCTGGCTGTGAACTCATTAATTTGTCTTTAATCACCTGTAAAGGATCCGGATGCTCTTCCATGATGATGTCATCATCAATGCCGCGCATCGGCTGATCAGCTTGATTTTTATTCATGCGGCGGATTTCGTTGAGCGAATTCAATTTGGGGGTATAGCGATTAAATTTGCCGTTGAGGGAACCTGAGAACAACAATAAATTTAATGTATAGGAAAAGAGAAGAAAAATCTGTTATCCGAACTTACCATGTGGTGGCATACTGGTGGAAAATAACACCCCAGCCTGTGGCAGCGTATCACCATAACGCTGAGCCGGACCAACACCACCCAAACCATCAATTTTACCAATTGAAGATGTTGCCACATATGAGGGATAACCGGGACTATTACCACTAATCCCGCCACCAGGTCCTCCCACTGAAGGTTTCATTAGTTCCTTACGCAGCGATTCCATACCACGTCCGGTACTACTACCACGATGCATTGTTGCCAAAACTTCATAATTAAGACGGCGACGGCTGTCACGGCGTCCAGCTCGTTGCGGTGACATTGTACCATCTAAATCTTCATAAATTGGTACTCCACCACCCAGGAGGCCTCGTGGGATTGACGGCACCGTACTGGTTGGTATAATAAAATCATGGGTACGTCCATTCCGCAATTTATAATTATGCTGACCCGTCGGTATGGTATTATAGGTTGTGTGATTCGATAGCGGTCGCTGGGCTTCGATTTCGCGTACCGGTACCGAGCTGAGCGTTAGCGTTACAAAACACAAGGTGGCAACGCCGAATTGTTGGCGTACCATTGCCGCCGTTGAGTGGGGTAATGAGCGTGGCATATTTTTTTGTTCTTCTTCCTGAGAGAGAAAATGAAGTTCTCTTACTCTTTCTCTTTTAATTCAATGTTTCCAAGTTAAACAGTCTCAGTAGTTTTTCATTCACTCTCTCGTTCTCTCTTTGTAAGCAAATTCCCAAGTTGAGCAGTTTTAGGTTATTTTTTGAAAATCGTTTTTTTCAGTTTTCAATGTTGAGCAGTTTGCGTTGTTTTTTGTAAGTAGGGAAATGGGCGGGATAGCCTGATGTGCGTTTGGAAATGTTGTTTTTTTTTATAATTTTCCCTTTTGTAGTTCCTTGATCTCCAAGGTTTGGTTTTTTAGATTTGAGATGAGATTTTTTTCAAATTTCAGTTTTTTTCGAATTAAAGATAAGCTGTTTTCTTCTTCTTCCTCCTCCTTCTTCGTTAGATTTCTGCCTTAGTTTTTAACTTTTATATTTATAGCAACACTTTGGCAATGCTTTGTAGATTTTAAAGCAGACTTTAATGCGGGGTATAGACCCGTGACACCACATTTTTGTTTGGTTTTCGGTTTTCCAATTCACTTATGTCGTTGGTATTTCGGAGTTTGCCATTTGTTTAAATTGTATTCAAAAGAAAATCTGTAAAAGAGAGGAAAGGAGAATAAATATTAGTTAGTGGAAAAATTGGAGAAAAAAATTAGAGATGAAAATATTGAAAAAATAATTAAAATGGTGAAGACTATTTTTTCCAAGTTGCAGCAGAAAACGTAGTTCCACTTAAAATTATTCGAGGCTGTGTCCCCAAAACCAAAGAAAAAACATCGGCGTCACGAAAATTCAAACGTGTAGAGTTTTTTTCATAATGGCACTCAACGGAGACGCAATTTCACTTTAAATTATTCGAGGCTGTGTCCCCAAGAGAACATCGGTGCAGCTAAAATACAAACGTGTAGATTTTGTTCATGTTGGCGCCCAACGCTAGAACCGGAATAAAATTGTTAAATTTTTAGTGACTTTTTAGCTAAGTTTTGGATAAAATTACAACATGTGGTTTATATCAGGGTTAAGGATCGTATAAACTTATTAGAACCAAATTAAATAGGATTATCTACAAAATTTGGCGCCCGACTGTTAACCACAGCTAATTTCAATTATACATAGTATGAGATATTTTTTTTTTCAAATTTGGCGCCCAACGATTCAGTCTCAGCTAACTGAAGTTGAGCCGATTATTATAGGAAATTTGTTGAATAGCAGGGTTTCAAATTCGATAACGATTTCTCATCAAATTTCAAATTCAACAGTACAGAATCTATTTAAAATGGTGTAGATCAATAGTTTTTTTCGAGCCTGATTTTGGGTCGAGATGTCTTTATGAAAAAGTATTTTGCTTCAGAAAACATCTATAGACCCCAAATCTATATATTATTTTTAAGTAAATGTGGCGCCCAACGGTTTTGTCTCAGGTAATTCATATTGTACAAAGCATAAGACTAAGAGTTTAGTGCCTTATTTTTAACTAATATGGCGCCCAACGTTTTGTGGTTCTTAGTACAGATCATGATAGTAAACAAATTTGGCGCCCAACGATTTCCAAACTGTTTCACTTTGTGCAGATCATGATAGCAATTTTGAGCGCCCGATTGTGAGGGCATAGAAATTTTTGTCCACAGCTGAATCTTTAGATCGCAAATGTCATCTTTCACAAATCTGGCGCCCAACGTTTTATACTCAGCAACGTAAAATTGTGGAAAGCATGAGGTTAAGTTTTTGGTACGTGATTGTTAACTGACGCCCAATAGTTTAACCTCAGCTAATTCAAATTGTAGCTATCATGATGAAAACTTTTTTGTGATCAATTTTTACTAATATTGGCGCCCAACGGTTTATACGCCGTTTTAAATTGCGCTGATTATGAAGTGAACTTCTTGACACCCAATAGTAAATGAAAATTTTCCTTACTGATGGATCCCGAACGTTACCAGATTTGAAGGTCAAGTTTTTGGTGCACGATGTGGCGCCCAACAATATAGACTCAGGTAATTCAAACTGTGCCGATCATGGTGGAAACATTTTTGCGTCCAACGATTCATTATCTCTTTGCTTCGATTATGCAATCATGTTCTTGATAATCAGTACTCACTGAAAATGTTTCTTGTGTAAGATTTGAAGGTCATCGGTTTAGAAACTCTATCAATTTATACAGAACATAATATACATTTTTTTAGTTCCCGATTGTGGGTAAAGTTTTATGGAAAGAAATTTTCCACAAACAAAACCTGTTGATTACGAATTAAATATTGATTTCAACAAATTTGGCGCCCAACGTTTTAGGCTCCCATAATTTCAAATGTGTACATCATGATAGAATATTTTTTACGTCCAACAGTTTAGACTTCGATAATTCCGAAGATTCAGATGATGATAGATGTTTTTTGGCGCTTGATGGATATCAAAATATGGCGCCCAAATGTATAGAAACTATTTCAAATGCTGCCGGTCATGATAACATCCTTTTGCCCTCCCCTTACACAAATTGTTTCACAATTTCTAAGTCCCCAAAATGTATTGGGTGCATCATTGGTATCGCATTCTGATGTTTGTGATCTGACATAAGCAGCAAGTGGCGCCCAATCGTTTTCAAGGAACATACTTTGGAGACTCGTTGTAATCTGGACCATTTAAAAGTCATAGATTGCTAGTAATAAAAATTGTAAACAATTTGGCGCCCAACGCTTTAACTAAATCAGTTTCAGCATAGAGCAAGTTTTTGGCGACCGAGAGTGAAATTTTTCAGAAAAAAATAATATCAAGCATTTATATTAAAGATAACATATTTTGTTCCTCTTGTCTAATAAATTTATAGTAAAATTGAAATGGCGCCCAATTGTAGTTTTTTTAATTATCGAAACAGTTCCTTTTTAAGAATTGGATCAGCCAAAAATCCTCAAATTCATTGAGTGGAACATTTGTAGCCCTGTTATTTGATTTAATATTTACCAAGTGGAATAATCAAGAAATGGCGCCCAACCGATTTTAAGAAGCAGACATTTAAGATGTTTTCTTATCGGCTTCAAGTAAAGTCATTACTTACAAGTAATAATATTTATCAAAGATGTGGCGCCCGAAAGTTATGAGATGCACCATTGGTATTCCAGACTGATATCGGGAATCTGACATTAATAGAATGTGGCGCCCAATCATTTGTATAGAACAAACTTTGGAGACTCGTTGTAATCTCAACCATTTAAAAGCCATAAATTGCTAGTAATAATAATTGTTATCAATTTTGGCGCCCAACGGGTTAAAAAAATCAGAAAGTAAGAATCAGAAGAACAAGTTTTTGGCTACCAAGCATGCACTTTTTCAGAAAGGAAAAAAAACATATCAAGCATTTATATTTAAGATTTTTCTCCATTCAAATATATTTATTGTAAAATTGAAATGGCGCTCTATTGTAGGATTTTCTATTTTAAAAAAATTAGTTGATATTAAAAATAGTGGTGCCCAATTGTTATTAAAGTCCAAATTTTGAAATTTGACGTAAAATCAAAATTTAAATAAATTATGAGAGCACTTTATTGGCTATTACCTATCATAGGCGGTCGAAATGATACAATGGAGGAATTACATATTTCCCGACTTATTTCTTTAAGTATATGTTGCTACAAAGCATATTTTTTATTTGAACAAATATATAAGAAAAATATTACAAAATTTAATATTTCTTCTACTCATCACCACCCCCCATTTTAATATCCTCCTTATACTTCCTTTTTGTCATAAAGCCACGGAAAGATCTTTTGTATATTCCCCCCAATACATATATATATATATATATATATATATGTAATATAGATATTAATAAAAAGAAACTAATTCTTGTTTGTTCATTCTTCGATGATGGCCATGAGCCGCAGCAGTAGCGACAGTAGCGCGAATAACAATGTGAATATAGAATGTGAAGCCTATCCGCAATTGCATGACTATTGCATTAGCTAATAATTTTTAATGCTAAGAAGAAACGAAAGAAGAAGGAGGGTAAGGTAGAGGAAGCTGTAGCAAAAAAAAAGAAGAAGGATATTTGTACTTTGCCAGCCAACCAGCCATAGGGCTTAGACAACAATGACATTATGACCTTATCTCCCCGCCGAACCGACCCCTACGGTTTTGAACAAATTTCATTCTACTTCATGGCTCCTGGCTAACATGTGTACATATGTAGGTATTTATATTATGTACACATGTCGTATTGTGGCTAATTAACTGTTTTGCAGTTGTCGCATATAAATATGGTTTTGAAGGATATATGTTTTTTTTTTTTTTTTTGTGAAACCAACCAAAAAAGGACTAACTTTGTTATTGACATAAAAACTAGGAAGAGGGACAGTAACGAGACTTATGTATTTGAATTAAGGAAAAATTTCTTAAAATGTTGACCTTGATTTTATAAAATATGTATTTTTTATTCCATCAGCCATTATTATTCAACCATCGTAATGATGGGCTGCTTGGTAATTAAATATTTACAGTTAAGGTGAAGGTAACAAAAATCTGTTTCATGTTAAGGCCAGTTTTTTATATTATGTGACCATTGTTAGATGTTAATCGTGTCCTTTTTGTTGCTTTTCTTGTTCAGTTGTGTACTTTATGAGATAATTATTTAATATAGTTGTGTGTGTGTGTGTGTGCAGTAATGCAATATTTTGTTTGGCTACACGAGAGTACATCTTAAGGATAATGGAGTACCTTGCATATTATTGAGCATTGTGAGGGACAAGATGAAGAATATACTGGGTTATATAATTATCTATGGCATTATTATTTATCGCAATCGTATGCGATTTTATTTTCTAACCGGAATCCCTGTAAATCAGAATATTTATACCCTTCACCACACTGTGGTACAGGGTATTATGTCTTTGTGCATATGTTTGTAACAGGCAAAAGGAAACGAGATATAAATCTTTCGATTTGCACGAAATTTGGTACAGCCTAATCATTTAGGTCTAGAATGATGTTTGCCAAGTTTCGTGAAAATC